ACTCAGTGGGTTAAGCCTCTGCCTTCGGCTCAGGTCATGATCCCAGGGTCCTGGGATCGAGCCCCATATGGGGCTCTCTGCTCGGAAGGGAGCTGTTTTCCCCTCCCTCTCTGCCTGCCTCTCTGCCTACTTGAGATCTTTCTCTCAGTCAAATGAACAAATAAAATCTTTAAAAATTTTTAAAAAAAGGTAAAACCCACTTCTGGCCTGCATGCTGGGGAAGGGGCAGCGACTGGAGCACAAGAACACCTGAGCAGAGACACAGCTTCTGTTTAGGACTCGTTGCATCTGGGGGGCTTCTGGGACACCCAAGTGGAGATTTCTCTAGGTGCCAAAGGCACTGGAGCATGACAGGGAGGCTGATGCATGAGCTTTGGAAGTGGGACTCCTCTAACTCCCGAGGTAACTGGAACATGGGGCAGGATGTACTGGGCACACATGGTGGGTCAAGAAGGGAGATGAGAAGGTAATGAGGGCTGGAGGCTGAATCGTCAGGGGATGGGGATGCTGTTTTGTTTTCTTCATTTTAGAACGGAGATACTACAGGTATTTAAATGCAGATGGCAGGAAGAGACTAAAAATGAGAAGATAAAAGAGAGGAGATAGTGGGTAGGAGGGTCCCTAGGAAGTGGGGAGGAGGGGAGAGTTCCGGTGGGAGACCTCTCCCAGCCTTCGCCAGCAGCATCTATAACCAGGCAATCAGTGACAGAAGGCACCACAGATGCAGGGGAGAGTGGGCAGGTCCGGTGGCATCTTCTAATTTCTCAAGGTTTGGGGATCCAGCTTGGAAAAGTCCCCCAGGAGACTCCCCCAAAGGCCACCTCATTACCTTGGCACTCATCACAGAGGTTTCCCTTACTGTGAGGTCAGTATCATCATCCAGCGAGGGGCCATCTCTCAGGGGCACACTCCCATTGCCCAAATTCCAAAACCTGATGTATAAGCCCAGGGATGCACATTCGAGTGCAGGGAGGAACTGGTGTGCTTAACCAGCAAGTTCACTCCGAGCAGGAGACCTACAGGGGAACTAGATCCGGATCAGAAAGATGTTAATCATGACATCAGCCCGTCCCCAAGCTGACTCCTAGGAGTGGAGTGGCGCCTCGGCCGAAGTCTGCCTTCTTTTTTTCTGTGCCTCTGGGGCTGATCAACCCTCTTTGATGAGCACATTTTTTTTCTTTAGATATGCTAGTAAATTCAATCAGGCTGACAATCCTCTGCCGGGGAGCCTCGGTGTCCCTTCAGGAAGCTGCCTTCTTTTGTGGCTAAGTTCATCTGTTCAGGGTGTCGTCATCACATCCCAGCACTGACCACAGACGCCCTTTGGGCAGAGAATGGGGCAGAGAATGGGGCGGACCAGGCACTACCTCGTTGACTCCAAGCCCCCTGAGGGCAGAGGGCTGTGCCCACCCTCCCCCACTCATGCAGGGGAGTGCAAACTGTTTCCATAAAGGGCCACACAGTAAAATGTTCTAGGTTTTGGAGCCGGAAGGACTCCATGGAAACTACTCAATCCAGAGGTTGCCCCACCAAAGCCCACAGACTCTATGTAAATGAACAGGTGGGGCCGCGTCCTAATCCAACTTGACTAACAAAAGCAGGCTTCAGCCTGGAGGCTGTGCTGAGCCCGCCTCTCCCGGCCCTGCCCACTCCTGCCTGAGTGCCGGCACCCAGCACAGCACCTGAGCCCTCAGTAAGTACTTACAGAAACGCCTGGTGGGCTCCGTCAGCGGAGCTTGCGACTATTGAGTGACCTTGGGGCTGTAGGTTCAAACCCCACTTTGGGTGTAAAGATTAATTACTTAAAAATAAAACCTAAAGAAAAAAGAACAAAGGGCAGGAAGGAAAGAAAAGAAATAGGCACCTGAGAATTTTTTCCTTAAGTCTACCATGACATCCTTGTTTCTATAAACTTCTTCCCATATTGGGATAAGCACTAAGGGACTGGAGTGTTCTAAGGAGGGAGGTGGAAAATGAGCTAGCATTAGCCTGAGAGCTTCCAAGCATCCACATAAATTCGTGAATGGATCATTCCGTGATGGAAGGCCCTCACTCCAAGTGATCAGACTTTTTTTTTTTTTTTTAATGGCCTGAATATCCTCCTTAAATGGGGTAGGTACTTAGGGGACCATAAACTGGCTTGGAGCCCAAGGCCAGGCCTACAGATTTCACGTGCTCTAAACATCAGACTGCAGTGTCTCAAGGCCAGGTGCCATGTCTCTTTCTCCTGCTTCCAGCCCGTACCTCACTCAGAGCACGCACACAGTTCCCACTTGTCCCTGAGGTCATTCATAGGTCCCGTTCTCCTCTCCATGTTCCCAGATTTTCTATAGCCATCACATCCCAAAACAACAAAGCCGAAATCAATGTTAGACTAAAACCAAAGAGTTAATAAAAATCACCCGAAGAGGCCATCAGCTTTACAGGGTACTTCTTCCCTGTTCTAGACAGAAACCTCTTCCTGCTTCAGAAGACCCAGGACTTGGGACAAAGAAAGGAGGCAAGAGCAGTTCAGTCCTGACAGTACTAAATGCTGCTATTTGTCCTCTGACTTCTAGGAAAAAGATCACTATCCTCTTCGTGGAACAAATAATTAAGACTATTTACAAATCCTTCCTATGTGGGCTCTTGACATTCTCAGCACCCAGGCCTCTGCTGAGGCTACACCTGCCTCTACGTTCAGAAAATGTGATCCAGAACCCCTTCCACTCATTTAAGAGCAATACGGAGTGAAGAAAACAGGATTGTCTCCTTAAAAAAAGCAATTTTTCAACTGACCTCAAAGAATCCCAAATAATGGCCATCTTACTGAGACCACCTCCTGATGGGGGAAGAAAATGTAAACATCTGGTTGTCAAATATCCAGTGATACTGACTGGCTATCAGACCGGAGGTTTTCAACCCTGACGGAGGCAGGAGACTCAGAATGACCACACAGTGCTTTTCCAATAGAATTTCCAGGGCCTCCTCCCAGACTCAAGGGTCTGAAGCTGGTAGGGACGGGGATGCGTTCATTCACAGCGCTGGAGGCGAGCACAGCACCTGACGTAACACACTCAGTAAATATTTGCTGAAAGCACTGTGGGTCACAGCTCCTTCTGGGGAACGTACGAAGAACCAGAGTCTGGGGCTTTAGGAAAACATACTTTTTATTGCTTTACTCTTTTGCAATGATTGAACTTTTACCATATTTTTTTGAGGGTTCATTGAAAAACTATTACCTATAGTTAAAATAATTTAAATCCTAAATCAAAATAATTACAATAGATGTCATTACAAAAGCCAGCTCGGTAAGATAAATTGTAGGTCTGTTGTCTTAGGAGTATGTCCTAAGTGGTATCGCGAAAGTGAAAATAATACTTGGAAGCGTTTATTTCACACTTACAAGCTGCTGGGCAAGAGTCAAAGTGCTTTGTACATACTGATTCACTTCTTTTAACATCTCTACGGGAGGAAGGAAAGACCGTATCTCACCTGAGGAGGACAGGAGCCCGAGGAGAAACTGAGGCAGCAGGCGCAGGGGCATTCAGCGTGAGTAATGGACAGAGCGGTCTGACCCAGGGACCCAGGCGGAGAGTCTACATCCCAACGTCTCCACTAATAGGTAGAACTGGAAATGTGACCCATCCCAAAGGGCCTCCACTGATTTAATAAATACATCATCACAAGAAATTTCAACAAATAGTTGAATGAATAAACGGCCAAGTCATCCCAGGAAAGCTCAACCTGACTCTTTCAAAAGTGAAATGGGGATGTGGGGGAGGGAGGACACCCTCCTCAGGACAGCCAGGTGGGACCAGGGGGGCAGGACAGGTGCCCCCTGGGTTTTGTCCAGTCGGTTACGAATTCCATCCCAGTGAAATGGCATCAGCTCACCTCAGTTACGTGCACAAGGAGGGCTTTTGTCTACTCTATCCACAGCACCTAGGACAAGGGCTGGCGCTTAGTAGGTGCTCAAGGGAAAGTTAACGAATGAAAGGCGTGAGTGCTCTACCCATGACCGGCTGCTTTAAGAGTCTGCCTACCTCGCACAGGCTGTTCCTCTGGGCTAGCCCCTGTGCCGTGAACTTGGCAATAGCTCTGTGAGGGTGGACCCATCAGTAGCCCCCATTTCCCTTGGGATGACTTTACAGAGAGCACCCACCAGGGATCCTGCACACGTTCACAGGAATAAATCACTCATGGACCCTCTGAGAGAGACAGCCATCCTCCTGGCCATCAGAACGTGAATCAGCTGATAACACCTGTGCACATAAAAAGCCCTCAAAGACGGGCCACGCTGGGATCAGACAGGGTGAGAGGGTTTCCCTTGCTCTGGTGGCCGGACTCTCCCAATTAAGAAAATCGTGTCTCACTTGTGCAATTAAAAAAGATCAAAACAGGGGTGCCTGGGAGGCTCAGTCGGTTAAGGTAGGGGCTCTCGATTTCCGCTCAGGTCGTGATCTCTGGCTCCCAAGGTAGAGCCCTGGGTCGAGCTCTGTGCTCAGCAGGGAATCTGCTTGAGATTCTCCCTCTCCTTCTGGCCCTCCCCCCTGCTCTCTCTTTTTCTCTTAAACAAAACAAAAAAAAGAAAGAAAGAAAGAAAGGAAAGGATCAAAAACAAAATGAGGAACTCTTCTATTAGGGGTCTGGAATGGCAGGGCCAAGAACACAGTCTTCTCCCCCCAAATCAGCTTTTTAGGGATACGCCCTCGACAGCTGTTCCCCCTACCACTGAGAGATGCTCGCACAGTGAGACGCTAGTGTGGATGTCCTTTGGGTTTTCTGGGGTGCCACAGGGGCATGTCTGCCGTCTGCATGACAGTCCTGGGGTTGAGAGTCTTGCCTGGAATCCCGAAGGGGAAACTTACAGGCGGGGGGGAGACCCTATGGAACCCTTGTTGTCGCGGTGCCCGGCCGGACCCAGCAGCTGGAGGGCACCCCCTACCCCCGTTTCCCGTCGCCCCCGCTGGCAGGGCATCCCTGCCCCTCCCGCCTGGCCCTGCCCCACCGTCACGCACCTTGGATGGTCCTCTTGAAGAAGGCCTTGCAGGCCTCACAGGACGCCACGCCGTAGTGGTAGCCGGAGGCGATGTCCCCGCACACGAGGCACAGGCGCTTGGGGATGGCATTGAGCATGTACTCGCACTTGATGGCCGAGTCCTCCATGAGGCCGCCCGCACAGTCCTCGTAGCTCTTGCGACACGGGGTGCTGCCCAGCCCTGCGCCTGCGAACATGGGCGGCGAGTCCAGACCATTGGCGTGGGCGCCCAGGGCCAGGCCGAAGCCGCCGCTGGCGTCGGACGAGCCGCTGGGGCTGTGGTGGCTGAGGGCGTCGATGCCCGAGGACGGGCTGGACGGCTCCGTCTTGATAAAGGAGCCGCAGCTGGAGCCCAGGTGCCGGTCGTCCGCAGACATTCTGTTCAGCAGCCTGGGGACACACAGAGCACGGGCAAGTCAGGTCGGCCGAGGGTGCGGTGGGTGTGACACCTGCCCCAGGAATTAGCTTGGGGCTCCGGGCACCGAGTGGGCGGAGTGGCTGGGAGGGGCTCCGTGCTCAGGCCTTGGGGAGATAAAAATGCTGGCCCAGAAGGTCAACTGGTCAGGACACTGCGCGGCCCAGAGCAAGATTCTGGCTCTACCCCCCAGAACCTTCTGACTCCACAGAGGAAAACTTCGATCAGTCAACCTCAGACCAGGCACCCCGGCTCTCTGTACACTGCTGGCCTCAGGGGGACTTAGAGCGGTCACAATTCACACAAAATAGTTGGCCGACCTCCCTGCACGACAAGACCCCATGGTGGCTACAGGTGAAAGTCCGGGTGTGCGGCCGCGGGACCAGACACCTCGGTGCGGTGACCTGATAACCCATCTCACCCAGCCTCACTGGGGCTTCTAAGCCCAGCTGGGAGCTTTCCCCATGGGCCACCATCCCTGAGACTGGGACTGGAGATGCCTAGCAAGGCACCTGGCCAGGGCAAGAGGTAGGGCTGGTGACAAAGGCGGCCCCTTGGGGTTTGCCTCTGGCCTGGGGCCGTGTGGAAGGTGGCTCCAGGCCCCTCCCTCCTGTCCCTGGTCCTAGTCCTTCAGCAGGCTGGCCTCCCCACCCCACCGGGTCCCAGAGCCAAGGTCTCCGAGAGGCAGCATAAGCTCCCTGCGTCCGCAGCGGCTTCTTAACCCTACAATTCAAGCTCTCAGCATCCTTGCCTCACCCCCAGAGTCAAGGGAGCATTACCACCACGACAGGATCACTGCGAAGGGTCAAATGTTTCCCAAAATAAAAGTCCCTCCTCCCGCGCCCGGTGGGTGAGAAGATGGGCAAGGTGCGACTCTCCCACGGGGTCGGGGTCCGGGGACTAGGGGAGGAGCCTTTCTCCAAAAGGGCAAGAAAAGCTCACAGCAGGGTGATGAAGGTGGGCGTTTAGGGAAACCCAGCTGCGGCCCCATAGTCAAGACCTCCGCGGCCAGCCAGAATCTGGAGTCAGGAGGCTGACTCGAGGTCCATGGGTCCCTGACCTGGCCTGGCTATGCGGAGGTAAGGAGGAGCCCAAGGCTTATGCCCATGGAGCAGGTGAAAGGAAAGTTCCTGGAGAAGGAAAGGGCCTACCGGTCAGCGGTACAGCCCCATGAATGGAAAGAGGGCTCTGGCTGGGAGGGAGGGTCTCAGCCCTGCTGGGTCCCCTGGGTAGCAGCCACAGTCCTACCTCCAATAATACTCAGAGGGAGCCCCTGTTTCCTGAGCAGTCCCTGGAGGAAAGGACTGATCAGCACCCAGGGAAGGGCTGCTTTGCCCCCTCCTACCCCCCCCCCCTCCCCCCCCCCCCCCCCCGAAAAGCCCACCCCCACCCCTACCAAATGCAATCTCATGATGGGGAGGGGCCCTCGCCATCCCTTAAGCCACTAATGATTTCCTGGTTAGCCCACGTCCCCAGGGCTTGTCCCGTCCATCTACATTTGAACATGCCCAGAGACTGGGAACTTACTGCCCACAGGCGGTTCTAATCAGACCCTGGGAACTGCAGATGCAAAGATAAGAGATAGGTATAAGGTTCCCACTCTCAAGTTTATCTACTGGAATGTAGTGTTTGAAGGTACAAGCTCTCAGGCGTCTTCCCAAATCCTCTGAGACGCCTCTCATGCAAGCCCCGTGTTTCCCTCACATCAGTGGGGGGCGCCCCAGCCAGGGGTCTCCTCTGGGTCCTTTTACAGCTCTGGGTGGTGCCCTGTCATCTTCCTGGGTTCCACATGGCCTCCTGCCTCCCCCCCCATCTACCGGCAGGTCCCTGGTATGTCCACAGGAAAAGACATCAGCCTGCCAGGACGTAATCCAGACAGAAAATCTTCCTGAGTAGGCACAAGTGCACTTCTGGGGGACCTCCCCGCAGCACCCCTACACAGGGCAATCAGGGAGAGCTGACCAGGGGCCCCTTCATCTGTAATTCCCTGCTGCTCATTGCTTTAGGCTCTGCAGGTCACAGGAACACTCCAGGCCCCCTGTGACAAGCCCTACTGGGGAGACAGCTCCCAGACCCCAGCCCTCCATCCCCACCTCTCCCCCAAACTGGACAGAACTCAAGATTCCAGGAGATACACCTGATGTAAGCACTGATTGTAGCAACTGCAGTAGTCTCCCCTACTCCCCCACAATACTACGTCACAATACCTACGTTGTTCACCCCACTTGGCCTCCTCACATAGGCCTTCTATCATCTCATCTTCAGAGACTCCAGGGCCGAAGGAAGCAAACATGACCCAGGCCTCCGAGTTGCATGGAAATCCAGCCACTAATTTATTGCCTGCATCCCAGCTGTGCGCGTGTGGGGGGTGCGGGTTGCAGAGGATCTCATTCTTGCAGACTTCTCTTTCCTGTGACCATTATTTTGACCCCCCCCCCCCACCCCGGATTGTCTTTTCTAAGGAGAGTCAATGTCTATTTCAGACACCTACTATGCGCCAAGTGCTGGCCAGAGAACGGTGATAACGAGCACAGCCCACAATCTCAGGAAGCTCGTTCTCTCTCAGGAAGGGCAGACACTAAACACACACAAGTGTGCAGAGCACCAGAAAGTGTGTGCAGAGCACCAGAAAGTGTGTGCAGAACACCAGAAAGGGCCAGGGGGCCTACCAGGCTCATAGGGGCTCCCCTGCCGTGCCTCACTGGTCTTGCTGCATTCTCTGGCTCATTCATTTGTATTTGTAGACTGAAGACCTTCCTCCAGAGGGCACAGCTGCTTTTCTGTGTTGAAAGTTCCTTCCAGACTCTTCTGCCTGTTTTTTCAAGCTCAGGAGCTACAGGTCTGGCCCTCTGCTCTGAGGAAAGCCTGCTTCTCCCTCTCCTACTCCCCCTGCTTGTGTTCCCTCTCTCTCTGTGTCTCTCTCTGTCAAATAAATAAATAAAATCTTAAAAAAAAAAAGCGAGCATATGTCTTGGAAATGCAATGAGGAGGGAGTGGCGGCAGGTCACAGGTGGTCACAAGGTCAGAGGAAGTCAGATGGGGCAAGTGTCCACTGCAGTGAGCAGTCAGGGGGCTGGGGACTTCACTAGAGGAGTGTCAAGGCATGGTGGGGATGGAAGCCACATTGCTGTGGCTGGAGGGGACAGTTCTTGGAAGAAGTTTGGCTGCAAAGGGTAGAGAAGGGTGTGAGCGTGGGGTTCCTCCTGGTACACCTTCAGGCGGTACCATCCACTTGAACTTGGGGCATTTGGGAGGCAGAGAAGGAATGTTTTGTTGTCATGTCAGTAACTGTTGGTCTCTGATGAGGAGGGCTGTGGTAAGAATGGAGGGAACTTGGGGGCGCCTGGCTGGCTCAGTTGGTGGAGCACGCAGCTCTTGATCTTGGGGTTGTAAGTTCAAGCCCCACGCCAGGGTTAGAGGTTACTTAAAAAAAAAATTAAAAAACAACAACAACAAAAAAGAATGGAAGGAATTTAAGGCATTTAAATACTATGGAATCAGGGTGCCTGGGTGGCTCAGTGGGTTAAACCTCTGCCTTCAGCTCAGGTCATGATCTCAGGGTCCTGGGATGGAGCCCTACATCGGGCTCTCTGCTCAGTAGGGAGGGAGCCTGCTTCTCCCTCTCTTTCTGCCTGCCTCTCTGCCTACTTGTGATCTCTCTCTGTGAAATAAATAAATAAAATCTTTTTTAAAAATTTTTTAAAAAATAAAATAAAAATTATGGAACCCACACTTTGCAGTGTGCCCTGGGCGATCCTGATTCTACCCACTGACCCAGTATAATTACCGATCCCCCCGCCTTCTCTCCACAAAGTAGACAATGAATGATACAGTGCCTCTACCTTCAGTGCTAACGGTAAACACCAAATCAAGGTGGAGAGAGAGAAAATACAAAAGGTAAAAAATGTTAGCTTTTCCCAAATTCTAGTCTACTCTTTTTTTTTTTTCTTTAAGATTTTATTTATTTGACGGAGAGAGAGAGATCACAAGTAGGCAGAGAAGCAGGCAGAGAGAGGGGGAAGCAGGCTCCCCGCTGAGCAGAGAGCCCGATACGGGGCTCAATCCCAGGACCCCAAGATCATGACCTGAGCCAAAGGCAGAGGCTTAACCCACTGAGCCACCCAGGTGCCCCTCTAGTCTACTCTTGACCAGAGTTCGATGGGGTGCTTGTTGAACAGGTGGCTGCCCTGGCCTGACCCCACCTCCATCATAACCTGACCCTGCCGCCTGCGAGTGGGGTCCAGAAGTCTGCATTTTCCCGTGAGTTTGCTTTAGCAGCCCAGGTGTGACTCTTCAGGGCATCAAGTTTGCAAAGTGTGGGAATGATGTGCCGGAGGGTTGACGGGAATCCGGAACATAGGAAGAGAAAGGAGCGGAAGCATAAGAGAGGGAGGGAGGTATGTAGGTGGCAGAGGGGAGAGCTGAGACCCCCTCCCCTTCCCGCCCCCTCCACTCAGTGCATGAAGCCAGAGGCACAGGGAGTGAAGGCTGCGGGCAGGAAGTCCAGGCAAAGGAAGGAAGCTTGCAACAGGAGCGGTGGCGGGAGGAGAGAGCAGAAATGGGGGCATACAGGCCTTACCAGGCACCTTAGTTCACTCTGCGGGGGCAGCAACGCAGGGGAGCCCTGTCTCCTCCAGCAGCTTATATCTGGGTTCCTCAGCCTCAGCCCTCCCGACGCCTGGGGCAGGGTAGCTCTTTGCGGTGGGCCGGTCCTGGGTGCACGGGGTGGGGGGCCACATTTCAGAGCATCCCTGGCCTCCACCCTCTAGAGGCTGGTAGCAGCCCCCTCCCTGCCCCCAGAGAGGACAACCCAAACCTCCAGACATGGCTGAATGTTCCCTGGGGGAAAATCCGCCCGAGACAGGCATCACTGACAGAGATGTATAAGGGAAGAGGGAGAGCCGGGGGTCCGGGAGCAGAGGGTTGGGCCAATGAATGGTGCAAGTCTTGGACATAGGTGGTCAGAGCAGAAAGGGTAGAAGTGGGAGGAAATGGTGGGGGGAAGGGCCAGGAGCACGTGGTTTCTGGGGGTGTAGGCTGAGTTAAAGCCAAGGAAGGAGCGAGAAAGCTGGGGAGTTGGAGGTGGGATCAGGGAAGATGTCAGAGGTGGGGCCTGGATGCAGAGGCCCAGGAGGATGGAGGGGAAGGGCGGTGGGGGGAGCAGGTGGCGTGCAGGATGGAGGGCGGGCGCAGCCTTGGGGTGAGGGGAGGTGGCTGACACTCCACTCTGGGGAGGAGGGCGTCACGTCGAGTCCATCATCTGTGGCTGGCTGGGACCCAGTTCCCAACTGGGTCGATGACTATTGACTTTTTGGGAGGGGACAGAGGCCCCAGCGAAGCAGGCTTTGGAAGAGCAGTGGCCAGTGGTTGGAGGCCCTGGAGGCATCCCTGCCCCTGCGATCCATGGGTAACAGGAACGCGGCCAGAGCCGCCCTGGCCTTGGTTTCACCAGCATCTGGTTAGGCCTGGCCTCCCTCCCGCCCCAGTCAGCTCTCTGCCGGCCCTCTTAGCGCTTGGTGTGGAGACCTGTGCCCCCGAGTGGCCTGGCCTCCAGGGGTGCCTGAGCTCACTGCAGGGCGGGGGGGATCCCTGCTGGACAACAAAGTGGGCTGAAGATTTTCCTCTAAGACCAACAGAATCTTAGAGATTCTGAATGAAACTCAATGTGTTGAGTTATTTGCCACACACGTGTGGAGGAGGAGAAATTCCAGGGTCCCGGCAAGAGACAACTATAATCTTTTAAGCTGGACTCCCAGGGATCTGGCCCCTAATGATGGCTGCTGGTGGGCAGGCAGTGGGAGGGAAGCTTCTGGAGGAACAGAAGCTCTTGGAGGGAAGGGGTCTGGACTGGCCTGATTAGCCCTGGGCCTGGCCTGCTTTCCCCTGTCGGGTGGAGCCCACCCCACCACACGCGCAAGCCGGGTGGCACGTAGAGGGGCCGCCCTCCCAGACCTGCCTTGGCTCTGCGCGGGGGCCTGCATGGAAGAACAGGAGTGGCTCTGTCACTGAGGGATTATAAGCCTGAGCTCTGACAGCAGATGACCCAGTTCTGCCACATGCTAGCTGCTGACTTTGAGCTCTCTCTCTCTTGGCCTCAGAGTGCCCATCTGTAAAATGGGCACCATCACAGCACCTCCTTCCTACGGCTGTTCTGCGTGAGCATAAACGATTGGAGGCAAAGCGTGTAGCCCAAGCTGGTGGGTGGATGCTGCCAGCTCTTGGGATCCTCCCAGGAAGCCCCTTCTAGAAAACTCAGCCTCTGGCCACCTGTGGTTAAACCCAGCAAAGCTCTTCCCTCAGCCAAGTCCCAAGACAGAG